CGTCTTCGCGGGCGCCGACGACGACAAGTACGGCGTCCCTTTGACCGAGGAGCAGAAGCAGGAGAGGGCTTTGAGGGCCATGAGGGAGGAGGTGGCGCTGCACGTCCAGGCGCGGTTGTTGACGTAGCGCAAATATGGAGCCACGATCCTCGTGAGGGGTTTGCCAGGATTGGCCCGAGGCCGCCGTGCGAACCCTGCCACTGGCGCCTTCGGTGGAGCTCCTGTGGGGCCACGATCCTCGTGAGGGGTGTGCCGAAATGCCTCGAGGCCGCCATGCGAACCTCGCCACTGGCGCCTTCGCTGGAGCTCCGCGAGCCCTGCCACTGGCGCCTTCGGTGGAGCTCCCTATGTGACCACGATCCTCGTGAGGGGTTTGCCGGAATGACCCGAGGCCGCCATGCGAACCCTGCCACCCGGGGCCTTCGGTGGAGTTCCCTACGGGGCCACGATCCTCGTGAGGGGTGTGCCGAAATGGCCCGAGGCCGCCATGCGAACCCTGCCACCGGGGGCCTTCGGTGGAGCTCCCTACGGGGCCATGATCCTCGTGAGAGGTGTGCCGAAATGGCCCGAGGCCGCCATGCGAACCCTGTCACTGGGGGCCTTCGGTGGATCGCCCTATGGGGCCACGATCCTTGGAGGGGTGTGCCGAAATGCCCCGAGGCCGCCATGCGAACCCTGCCACTGGCGTCTTCGGTGGAGCTCCCTATGTGACCACGATCCTCGTGAGGGGTTTGCAGAAATGGCCCGAGGCCGCCACGCGAAATCTGCCGCTGGCGCCTTCGGTGGAGCTCCCTAGGGGGCCACGATCCTTGTAAGGGGTGTGCCGAAATGGCCCGAGGGCGCCATGCGAACCCTGCCACTGGGACCTTTGGTGGGGCTACGATCCTCGTGAGGGGTGTGCCGAAATGGCCCGAGGCCGCCATGCGAACCCTGCTACTGGCGCCTTCGGTGGAGCTCCGCATGGGGCCACGATCCTCGTGAGGAGTGTGCCGAAATGGCCCGAGGCCGCCATGTGAACCCCACGAAACGATGTACTGGGTGGGTGAAACGTAGGGAGGAGGGAGGAGAAGAGGAGGGCGGGAAGGAGGAACGCGGGGCAACGTGTCTTCAAAACGAGGACCCAACACCACAGGATGGTTGGGAAACATCTCAAACAAGAACCAAACATAATCAACAAATCGCCTGCTCAATGGGCCAAGAGGCGTACTAAGAACTCCGGCAACTGGTTTGCAGTTTTCTAATTCGCCAGCATGGGGCGGTCCCTGGGGCCCTCGAACGAAAAGTACCCGGACAGGTCCCGGCAACGTGAGGCCCAGTAAAAAGTACATTTTGCGCATAAGAGACGTTTCGAAGTCCAGCGCGTCCAGCACTGCTCAAGAAACCTCCAAGATCGCCCCAAGACGGCCTAACAGACTCCCAAGGTGGGCCCAACACGGCCCTAGAGGGCCCCAAGACGCCCCATGAGGCCTCCTGGACAGCCAAAGACAACCATAAGAGGGACCCATCGGGGGAACTCGAATTGAACTTCCTAGCCTGCCGACCCGCAAGATCGTCCCAAGACGCCCGAGATCGCCCCCAGACGGCCGAAGACGCCGCCGAGAAACCCCACGAGAGCCTCAAAGTCCCTCCCAGAAAGCCTCGAGACGCCCCAACACGGCCCAAGAGGGCCCCAAAACGCCCCATGAGGCCTCCTGGACAGCCCTAGACAGCCAGCCCTACGAAGAGGCCCCATCGGGGGAGCTCGAATTGAACTTTCCAGCCTGTCGACCCGCACGATCGTCCCAAGACGCCCAAGATGTCCCCTCTATACGGCCGAAGAAACCGCCAAGAAACCCCAAACGAGCCTCAAGTGGTTCTCCTATAGAGCCTCAACCAACAAAAAATGTCTCATTTTTTTTGGACGTTTCGGCACCCATCGCGTCCAAAACTGCCCACGAGACCTTCAAGATCGCCCCAAAGCGGCCCAACACACTCCCAACATGTGCCCCGCACGGCCCAAGAGGGCCTCAACGCGGCCCACGAGGCCCTCTGGACAGCCCAAGACAACCCTAAGAGGAACCCCGTCGGAGGAACACGAATCCCACCAGCCCTTTCGGGCGTACGTGGTTTATGACGTTTCCTCATCCACCCCCTTTTTCCCCTTCGGGGCGGGTGTACCACTACTTCGTGTGATTCAACGCCCCCGCAGCCCCACCCAGCTGGCTGATAGCAACCCCGCCGTCCGAACTGTCAAAAAACAACACAAGCTCAAATTTTGTCTCGCCGACATGTCGTCGAGTTTCGAACGTGTAGCAAGAATGGGCGAAATTGACATCGCTTGGGTAACCCTAAGCGGGTGGTCGCGTCCTAGCAATCAAAAGACACTGCAACGTCAACGTTTTTCTGTCAACGTTGACATTCTTGTCGTCGACGTTGCGAAAAGTGTTGCAAGAATGGGACGCGGCGCGCATCGCGCGCGGACGCCTGGCCAACCCTGAGCGGACCCCCCCGTCCTACCGGTCAAAAGACACCGCAACGTCGACGTTTTCCTTGCCAACATCTGTTTATTCCTCGTCGGCGCTGCGAATCGCGTAGCGGGAATGGGACGCGACGCGCATCGCGCGGGGACGCCTGCTCGTCAACATGGGACTTCTTGTCGTCGACGTTGCGGCCCGTCGGGTTGAGGAGCTGGGCGCGACGTGCATCGCGCGCGGTCTTGTTTATAAGATGAGCGACAGGCGTCGGACGCGACGCATTTGCTTCTTATGTTGTGGGGGGGGGCGGGTGGGAATGGACGGAACCCTGTGGCTCGTTCGAGCTGGCAAACTTGATCACTGTTCCCTATTACTCAACACCCCCTCCCCCAGGCCACTGGGGGCCAACCCAGGTCCACCCCCTCCCCCAGGCGCAATCCCTTGTAAACAAACTATACAAAACACGCTCTGCCTCCAAATTCGGAACATGCGCAGCCAACCCGATGCGCCCCCCCCCCCCCCCCCCCACCATCCCTGTCAAAAAACAATACAGGGCACACTTGGCGGAGGCGGCGGCGGCGGGCTGCGGCGGCGGCGGCGGCTGCGGCGGCTGCGGCGGCGGGGGCGGCGGCGGCGGCGGCGGCGGTGGCGGCGGTGGCGGCGGTAGCGGCGGCGGTGGTGGCGGTAGCGGCGGCGGCGGCGGCGGCGGCGGCGGCGGCGGCGGAGGCGGCGGTGGCGGCAGCGGATTGGCCCCCAGTAGCTACCCATCCGAAAATGACTGCTGAATGTGCCGAGGCTCGGGCCAGGGAGGGCGGGTGGGACAGAGCGAGACGGCTTGCGGGCGGGGGGGGTGTCTTGACCCCTCCCCCTACCCACTCCCCCTGGACCTGGAGGACTGTTTCGCGGGTGGCCGGGGCGTCCAAAACGGCCTCGGCGAGGAAGCCACAATCAATGGTTTTACTATGGTTTTGATTCCGTTTTGGCCTTTTGGTGGGACAGCGCAAATTGAGGGACCTCCCTTATTTGATCGATGTCCTCCGGGATGGCCCCAAGAGCGCCCCCAAGGCTCCCAAGGGTGCCCCAAGAGGGCACCAAGAGGTGGCCAGGAGGCTCCAAGAGGCCCCCAAAAGTCCCCCAGGATGCCCCCAAGATGCCCTCAAGGGACCCCCAAGAGGTCCCAAGAGGTCCCCAGAGGCACCCAACACGCTCCAAGAGGCCTCGGCGAGAACGAACAAATAGCCCGACGAAGGACCCAACCATATGCAGCTGCGACTACCACAAGGCAGGTTGAACAAACGAGGGGAAATATCTATGGGACCACGACAACTTTGAGGGGTGTGCCGACATGTGTGCGGTGGGCGCATACGAAGCCAGCCACCGGGGCCTTCGGTGGAGCTTCCTGTGGGGCCACGAAGCGTGCAAGACGTGTGCCGACATTGCTGCTGTGGGCGCATTGGAACGCAACCACTGGGCCTTTCGGTGGAGCTCCCTTTGGGGGCACGACACGCGTGAGGGGTGTGCCGAAATGGCTGCGGCGGGCGCGCGCGAGCGCAACCACTGGGGCCTTCGGTGGAGCTCCCTGTGGGGCCACGAAACATGTGAGGGGTGTGCCGAAATGTGTGCGGTGGGCGCATGCGAACGCAACCACTGGGGCATTCGGTGGAGCTCGCGATGGGGCCACGAAGCGTGTGAGGGGTGTGCCGAGATGGGTGCGTTGGGCGCATGCGAACGTAAGAATTGGAACCTTCGGTGGAGCTCCGTGTGGGGCCACGAAACGTGCGAGCGGCGTGCCGACATGGGAGCGGTGGGCGCATTGGAACGCATCCACTGGGCCCCTCGGTGAAAATCCGTATGGGGCCACGTGACGTGTGAGGGGTGTTCTGGAATGGGTGCGGTGGGCGCATGTGAACGCAACCGCTGGAGCCTTCGGTGGAGCCCCCTGTGGGGCCACGAAACGTGTGAGGGAAGTGCCGCAATTGGTGCGGTGGGCGCATGTGAAGCAGCCGCTGTGGCCTTCGGTGGAGCCCCCTGTGGGGCCACGGAACGTGTGAGGGGTGCGCCGACATGTGCGCGGTGGGCGCATACGAATACAGCCACCGGGGCCCCTTTTATGGAGCTTCCTGTGGGGCCACGAAGCGCGCAAGAGGTGTGCCGACATGGGTGGTGTGGGCGCAGTGGAACGCAACCACTGGGGCCTTCGGTGGAGCTTCCTTTGGGGGGACGACACGTGTGAGGGGTGTGCCGAAATGAATGCGGTGGGCGCATACGAACGCAACCACTGGGGCCTTCGGTGGTTTTCCCTTTGGGGCAAAGAAACATGTGAGGGGTGTGCCGAAATGGGTGCGGTGGGCGCATGTGAACGCAGCCGCTGGGGCATTCGGTGGAGCTCCCTGTGGGGCCACGAAACTTGTCACGGGTGTGCCGAAATGGCTGCGGCGGGCGCGCGCGAGCGCAACCACTGGGGCCGTCGGTGGAGCTCCCTGTGGGGCCACGAAACATGTGAGGGGTGTGCCGAATTGATGATGGTGATGATGATGACTATGATGATGGTGACGGTGATGCTGATGATGGGGATGCTGATGATGGGGAAAAGATGGGGGGCAAAGAAGGAAGGACGCGGGCGCTGTCTGTTCAAATCGAGGACCCAACACAGAATGGTTGGGAATGATGTTACCAAGGTTTTGGCCACAGCTTGGCCTCCTGGGGGGGGCACTGCCTAAGATGACTCCAAGCGCGCCTGGGAAAACCCAAGATAACCTCCAAGATGGCTCAAGATATCCCAGGATGCCCCAAGATGGCCCCCACGATGCCCCAGAGGCCCCACGACCGCTCCAAGACGGCTCGAAGCGGCCAAGAAGCTCCCCCAGGAGGCCCCGAAGAGGCCAACATCCTCCCAAAACCTTGGGGTACTCAACGTGTTTGGCTTTATCGCCTTTTCGCTGCCGATGGCCATCCGAGGCTTCAAGATGGCTCCGAGAGCGCTCCAAAAGGCCCCCAAGAAAGCTTCAAGAGGGCCCCCAAACGCACCCAGGAGGCCCCCAGATGCCCCAACAGGCGCCCGAGAGGCCTCCAAGAGGCTCCCAAGAGACCCCCAAGAGGCCCCAAGAAGCTCTCTACGGCACCCAAGACGCTCTAACAGGCGCCCGGGACCGCCAAGAGGCCCCCAAGATGCCCCAAAAGGCCTCCACTGGGGGACCCTCCCTCTGTGTGCTGCCCACTTCCCTGGTCGAGGCAAGTCCTACCGGCATCGTTTCTGAATGGGTTTGTGGGTTTATTTTTTTCCGTCGCGGCCGCAAGCGGAAGCGCAGGCGGCGTCCGAAGTCAACCCGGGATACGAGCCAAACGAATTTACCTAAGCGCGATCTAGCGGCCGCCGAAACTGCCGCCGAGGAGCGACGCCGGGGACTGAAGGCAGCAAGAGTTGCCAGGTGTGCCAGGCGGCTGAAGTGCAACCATTCCGTGGGCGAGACCACCGGGAAGGCAACCGAAATGTACCTTGTCGCGCCAGGCGCCAGAGGTAAACGAACCACCCGAGCAAAGCACGGCATAGCGTGGGGCAGGCTGGGTTACTTTTTTCTCGCGGGCGCGAGCGGACGCGCAGACGCCGAGTCGAAAGGTCAGGGCACAGGCTGGGTTACGCGAAGCGTCTAGAATTCAACTTTCTAGCTCGCCGACCCGCAAGATCGCCCCAAGACGCCCAAAATGGCCTCCAGACGGCCGCAGACGCCGCCAAGAAGCCCCAAGAGCGCCTCAAGAGGCTCTCCTAGATTGCCTCTACAAGCAAAAAGTGCCCCATTCCTTTCAGAACACATGCGTAGTGATTATATACGACGCTTCGAGGTCCATCGCGTCCAACACTGCCCAATGGACCTTCCAGATCGCCCCAGGACGGCCCAACAGACTCCCACCATGGGCCCACCACGGCCCAAGAGGGCCCCAAAACAGCCCACGAGGCCCCCTGGACAGCCCAAGACAACCATAAGAGGGACCCATCGGGGGAACTCGAATTGAACTTCCTAGCCTGCCGACCCGCAAGATCGTCCCAAGACGCCCGAGATCGCCCCCAGACGGCCGAAGACGCCGCCAAGAAGCCCCACGAGAGCCTCAAAAGTCCCTCCTAGAAAGCCTCGAACACCTAGAACCTCCAATCGGATCGAAATGGACCCTGCCAGGCGCCCCTCTCCCTGCAGGACCCGCCCGCTCCCTTTTCGGCGCGGAAAGCGGACAAGGCTGGAGGAGGAGTAGGGAGGAGGAAGGGAGGGGGGAGAACGAGGAGGGTGGAGGACAAGGAGGACGAAGAACGCCCCCGAAACGGCCCCAAGAGGGGCCGAAGAACCCCCACCATCGCCCCAGGCCGCCCAAAATGGCCTCAAGACGGCCCAATAGACCGCCAAGACGGCCCAAGAGGTTTCATCTCCTCCTGCTCCTCAACCTTCTCTTCCTCCTTCTCCTCCTCCTCCTCCTCGTTCCCCCTCCTCCTCCTCCTCCTTTTCCTCCTCATCCTCCTCCTCCTCCTCCTCCTCCTCCTCACTCTCCTCCTCCTCCTCCTCATCCTCCTCTTCCTCCTCCTCATCCTCCTGCGGTCGCATTCACAAGCCGCCACCGTCCAAAACGGAAAGGCTCTAACTTGCGACTGATACCTCCGACCTGCGACATGGCCCCACAACGACCATCCAAAATCATCAACCGCTCACCGACACAAACAAATAAATCAACGACACAAGACAAATAAACAATAAATCAACGGCCAGAATCTTGGACGAACCCTCGAAACTAAATCCACAGTCACTGCGACCCCCTCAGGAATGCACCCCCAAATCGACAGAGGTGCGACAATAAGGGCCGGCGGAATGAGCGAAGCGATGAAATAATAGAAAAATCATCCCCAAACTAGTTTTGTGCTATTTTTGAACCATCCTCCTGTAGAGGGACATGCCCGACTTGAGTCTGGCACGAAGGGAACCGGTCCTGGGCCGGAGAGCTGTTCGCCGCTTTCGGGCCCTCATGGCCATCAAAGAAGCGGCTCGGGCTGAAGAGGTGGTCCTGGGGAAAGCCCTGAGGTCTAGGAGCCCCGCCCTTCAAAGCGGAGCAATTGAGTATTCTGTCTCAGGGTCTCCGGTAGCCTGAGGAAAAGCATGGGGAGGAGGGAGGGGAAGGAAAGGAGGGAGGGAAGGAGGAGTTGGAAGCCGGGCAAAGGCTGCCAAATCCATGGCTGATAAAACCGATCTCCGGGAAGTTGTCTTCGTCCTGCCGGGAAGAAGACCTTTGACTGTTTCGCGTGCCGCGCCTCATTCCGGGAAGTTGTGTTTTCCTTCCGGGAGGGCCGTTTTAGCAGCCACGGTTTTAGCAGCCCTCGCCCAGCTTCCGACGGAGGATCAGAAGTGGGATGCACAGGATCGGGCGACGTCAACTGACCACCTGGCCGGTCATTCTTACTACAACAACATCTTAAGGACAAGATCTACAAACACTCGACCAACCAATGCTACCACATTGTCGGTAGCCCTACGGCTTGCCACGCTGAGGAGTCTGGAGGAACCTCATGGAAAGACCATATGATCAGCGGCTTGAAACATTCTGCGGGTCTTCGACGATAGACGGATCTTTGCCAAGTCGTCCGAGGATCGGTGCATGCGGCGTCCTGGCTTAACCAGGGCGGCGCATACCGTATACACTATGCACCGATCCTGGGCCCATGATCGGCTCCGGCCTGGACCGGCGCGAGGGAGGTCAGTTGGCGTCGCCCGAGACCCTGACCCCCGAGGTCGTGATTCTTCACAACGCGGACCCCCAGAGGCCTCGACCCATTCCCCCTGACCAGCTTTTCATCCCGAGCCATCCGTGGACGGTCAAGGGCCCACTTAGGCCCTCCAGGAGCCGAAGACGACCAGAAACCTCCCGTCGTGACTTTGATCACGGCGCCAGGGGGTCTGGGGAGGAGGAGGAGGCGCCGCCCGCCCTTCCTCGCCGACGTCCCACAGGCTTCTGGTGTTCTCATCGCACTTAAGGACCACATCCCAGACATAATGTCGAGCCCCGTAAAAATATCGACGCAGTGAGTATCGCCTCCCAAGGCCCGACGCGTGAAAACACACAAATTTCGGTACTTTCCTGGTGCTCGAAATACTTTCTGGTGATCAGAGCTAAAATGGGTTGGAGCATCATAAGCCTGGGGAGGGTTGCCGGTTCCGGGTTCCTGGTTATTGGTTCCGGGCCGATTTCGATGGGTTCCGGGTTCCCGGGTTCCCAGGTTCCTCGTCGATCTCCTTATCGATCTCTTCATCGGTCCCATTTCAAACCATCCACTCATCTGGGTTTTTCTCTGGTGCAATTTTGATCACGGCGCCAGGAAGTCTGGGGAGGAGGAGGAGGAGGAGGACGAGGAGGAGGAGGAGGAGGCGCCGCCCGCCCTTCCTCGCCGAGGTACCCGAGGGCGGCAGCGGCGAAGGGGCGGGAAACAGGGCGTGCCCGCCGCCGCCCCACCCCTGCACGCCTCCACGCCCCGCCCCTGCCCCGCAGGCTCCCTCCGCCGCCCCCCAGAGAGGTGCATGTTTTGGGGAGGGGGAGGGGGAGGAGGAGGAGGAGGAGGAGGAGGAGGAGGAGGAGGAGGAGGAGGACGAGGAGGAGGACGAGGAGGATGAGGAGGAGGAGGAGGAGGACGAGGAGGAGGAGGAGGACGAGGAGGAGGAGGAGGGAGGAGGACGAGGAGGAGGCGCCGCCCGCCCCCCCTCGCCGAGGTCCCCGAGGGCGGCAACGGCGGCAGGGGCGGGGGAGCAGGGCGAGAGCGGGGGCGGCCTGCCGAGCGGGGCGCCCAGCCCGAGGCCTCGCCGCCCTCCGAGGAGGAGCCCGTCGCGGGAGCCCCCCGCCTCGCTGTAAGACCGCCCCCCCTGACGACGACAACGACGACGGCGGCGGCGGCGACGACGACGGCGGCGGCGACGGCGGCGACGACGACGACGGCGGCGACGACGACAACGGCGACGACGGCGAGGACGACAACGACGACCACGACAACGACGACGCACCGACGACGGCGGCGGCGACGGCGGCGGCGACGGCGACGACGACGGCGACGGCGGCGGCGGCGACGAGGGTGACGGCGGCGACGACGACAACGACGAAGACGGCGGCGACGACGACGGCGGCGACGAGGGCGACGGCGGCGACGACGGCGACTGCGGTGGCGGCTGCGGCGGCGACAGCGATCTCGACCTCGACCACGAAAGCCTCGACGGCGAAGCCCCCTGCCGCCTGCCCCACAACGAGGTCGGACGAGGCCGACAGCCTTCGCACCGACCCCCTCCCGCGCGCCGCCCCGCCTGCAGCGTCGATCGGATGGCGCCGCCATCGCCGAAGATGTCGGCGCCGCTGCGCCAGTCCTGGGTCGCGGCGGCGCACGCCAGTCGAAAGATGCAGTTACAAGCCAAAAGTCGAGAGGGGAGTTTGTACATCAAACTGTGTTTCGGCCAGCGCCCGAAAGTGGAAGGGAGAAGGAAGGCCCTCCGGTTCTTGGAGCAGGGAGGCGCTTCAAATAGGTTTGCGATGTGGAAATGCCGCAGAACGGGTCCTGGGGGAGCGGTGGGCGTGAATACCTCTGTCCAGCGCTGCAGCGAGGCATTCGCGTAACACCCAGTCAAGGAGGGGATGGGAGGAGGAGGAGGAGGAGGACGACGAGGAGGAGGAGGGGAAGGTGTTGGGTCTCTTTGGGTCCTTGAAAGTTTCGCGGGGTGTTCGGAGGTTGGGGGGGCTCTTGAAATCAGGATGGCCAGTACCATCCATCCCCCAACGGCCCCATGTCACCTTCTCTGGTTTTAGGATCCGCTATACATCCATGTCCGCCGCCCTCTGGTCCTGCAGCACGGCCGCCGAGCGCTGGATTTTGGCCACTGAAACACTGAAAGGCGTTCGTCAGAACGATTAATTGACGGCCGTGGCACCCGATTAAAAGGGCCAACGAGCCGGATTAGGCCAGATTGAGACGGGGACTCTGCCAGAGCGCGCGGGATTAAATCAGTCGGTCAATTTTCGACCAGGGCTCTACCAACGCCAATGCAAAACTCAACGGGGTAGGAATTGCATCCTGGGTGGTGGGATCTTAGCGGCGTGGTCAAGGCGAGACGCAATGCCTGCCGCTCCTCTCCTCTCTCGCCAAAGATGGAAAATCAACCACGATGGCACCGCACCAGTATCTGCCAAAACTCAAGGGGGGTCCTCTTCGTTGATCGGGGGACCCTCCTGGGGAAACCACAAAAAAAGCGCTACGCGCCAGCCATGGCTGCGGGGGGGGGGAACCATGGGGCGAGGGTCTCTGTCACCCTCAACCCCCTTGTCCAGCAAGGTGATGTCGTAGACGAGCGTGGCGTCTCCCGGCACCTTCGGGGGCGCGCCCTGGTGAGCTGTTTTTTGAGTACACGATCGAAATCATCACCGTTCTCAGCATCAGCATCGTCACCATCATCATCATCATCATCATCATCAGCAGCAGCAGCAGCATCAGCATCAACATCAACATCATCACAATCACAAGCATCACCGCAATCATCATAATCATCAGCATCATACTTCTCATCCTCATCTTCATCGTCCTGCTCCTTCTCCTGCTCCCCTTCTTAATTACTCCTCCTCTTGTTCCCCGTGATCGTCGCGTTTCTTCTCCCAACTCTTCCTCATGGCAGCTCTCTCCACGCTCCCTCCCCCGAAGGCCGCATCGGACACACGCACTCGCGATCCGACAGCTGGTCGTTCAACGGAGCGCCAAACAGCCCGCCAACACTGTCAGATAGGGCAGCGCTGCCTTGAGCTGGGGCAGCGGCGGATTGGCAAACATATAACGTCCCACCCATTGGAACATTCCCTCAACATCGACATGGGGACGAAGCCCGCCCGCCACTGTCCATGTAACCGGCGCAAGGCAGCGACGACCACACTGGTCAACTGACCGGCTCGATTACCGCAGCTGCAAACAGGCAGGTGAAACAGATGGGGGTGCGAAATACTGCGTCATGTTGCATGATCCAGACAATTTAGCACCAGAGTGCAACAGGGCAGAGGTAATCTGACAAAAGCATTTTGCGCTGGGCATGCCGAAAGGGGGCACACAAACATTTGAAAACGCCGATGAGGGCTGATCCCGCGTCGGGCAGAAAAATTGGTAGCGTCGCGTGTCCGCGCAGCGAGAACTTTAATTCCCGACTGCCAGGACGTGAGCGCGGTGACGCGCTCACGTCCTGGCAGTCGTGATCTCACGACAAACGATAGGCAAGAGGGGCGCGGGCACGCGCGGACTCCGAGCAGTCGCGGTTCCACGAAATCTCTGAATGTGGCCAGAAAGAGGGCCCCCCCTCTTGTGCAACTGGCGACCGCAACATGGCAATCCCTCAGAACTCATGGCCGAATCCGCGTGGGCCCCCTGCCGAATGAACACCGCCCCCCCCTTGGGCCAGGAAGGATCCCCTGGCGAACCCTGGTCTACCCCCAGGTGACTTTACCAGGAGCGGCATGGCCCTCCTCGCGCTCCCTTCGCGACCACAAAACGGCCCCTCAAGTCGAAAGTGGGATGGCGATGCCATGTCTGTCACCACTAGGTGGGTGACGATGGCAAGGGAAAGGTCAGCGATGAGACGGTTGGTGACGGGGGAGTTACGATGATAGGGCTCACATGACTTAACCTTGCGCGTGTAACTCTGCTGCCCATACATGACCTGTAGAAGCGAGTTGCGATCGATAGAGCCCTGGTGTGCTCATCCGCAGTCGTATCCCGGCTGTCACACCACTTCGCTGTTTTGGTAATGCCAAGCCCGAGGAATTATCTCAGCCAACTGATATCGCCCTGCAGTGTTTTTTGTCTGTTCGTGTTTGCAAGTCCTCGCTGTAGAGACACTTACAAAAAAACTCGGGAACAATCGCAAGAAGCATGTCAACACAGAGCCCACCTCGTTCACGAAGCTGCATGGGATCAGGGAGGGCCACTGGCCCCTTTCATGATCTCATGTAGCGCCGCGGAGGTAGGATAGGACTCGTCCACGCTGCGGGCAGCATCGGGAGGAGCCTCCCCCGGGTAGCTGGATCACACTAGGCAGGTTGCGCCCATGATGGCCGCAACCTAGCCTGAATCTCCGCGTCTGTCCACCTTACCGTCAAATATCATCGCGCAATAGGTGACATCCTAAATTCCTAAGACAATTCGCGAGTAAAGGCATTCAGGCGTCTCGCCGGGAAGTTAGTCGGTGTTTGAATGCGTTACAATCACATAGTACACACCATGGTCCAACATGTAGCGGGAGCAACATAGGCACGTGCATCTCGAATACTGAGAAACACGTCGCCGACAGTTTTGCTGGCACTCGCATCTGGCAATGCTCTGACAAATTCGGAGCCTGCAATTGGGCGGACTATGTGGGTCTTAACCCGTGCTCACGTCACCCCCTCCGTCTTCGTGTATACCACCGTACAATTCGTGCATGTATGCTTGAGCAGCATACGCTTCCCAAGCACTTGTGCTACTCTGTGTGCATTGGAGTCGGCTTTGGCCCTCTTGCCATACATGCTGATGTCATATATGCGTTTGGAAGTATATATTGTGCAACTTCGACTTCTGCATGGCATGACATCCGTTGAAGGCTGATGCTCTCTGTAGGTCCCTTGAGCTGGAAAAGGACAACTCGTGGGGCACCCTTTGTGCAGGCACTCGGTTTGAGACATTGGAGGCAATGGCCAGACTCGTCATAGCCCTCAACCCCAAGCAACGCGCGCAGGACAGAAACACCTCCAGGATGTAAAGTACAGCATGCAATACGCTACTGTTGTCTGGTCGCTTCTGCTAACTTTCTGTAGGTTAGGCCTTTAAAGAAGGCTTTCTACACGTCCAGGCTGGCGACCATCCAATCCTCGTGGCAGGCCGCCCCACAAGCTAGCAGCGCTGCGGGTTGCGCCTGGCCGTGCCTGCAGGTGCCTTTACGGAGAAGACCACCTGACCCATGAAACCCCTCAAAACTACACGGGGTCGTATAATCATACTAAACCATCGGGGTCGGCATTCACGAACTTCTGGTTGTAGACGGATCGGGAAGTCATAAAACTTGAGGCCTTGGTAGAAGTTCTGTAGTGGAAATGAATAGTTGGTTTGTTTACAACGTATTTTCATACGTATATAGATATATGCATATACATATATGTGAAATTCGAACGAGAGGGCCCTTGATACGTGCTTCAAATGACTCAGGATGTCCTGCTGGGTGAGCAGGTCATCCCCCTCCATGACAACGGCCCGTTAAATTTTCGCCCGAAAAGATGACGCGGACCGTAGCCAGCTCGCCAGCGCGAATGGCATTGAGCTGGGGCTCGTCCAAAACAATTGTGGCCATGCCCCCACTGAAGCATACGCAGGCGTACTTACCCTAGGCGTCGGCGCCGAGGTCGCAAGAGTCATCTGAAGCTTTTCGCGTAAGCGCTGCGATGGCCAGATTACGGTCACCAGACCCTCAGTGGGAGAGTAGCACGCCGTGCAGGACATGTTCACGAACCTCGGATGATACCAGTACCGCATTGATCGGCATGAGAGGACTAAGAGGGCCACATAGACGAGTTGAAGCTGTTCTGTCAAAGTACATGGTTCAATCGACTGGTGGTCCGAATCTAACAGTTCTTCATACTAATTATGCATGATCGCCATCTCCTGCTCTTGTTCGAAAACACCCCTTCTCGATGGTGGTTCGTCGGCTAGCATCTCTCTCAGACTCCACGGGGGTCTTTGGAAAGTTCGCGTCTACGCGTTCATCAGTCTCGGGAGGTTCGCGTCTACGCGTTCATCACTCTCCCGAGGACCGTCGGCTAGGTCGGGGTACTCGAAAGATATTCGTAACAAAACAAGCACTGTATCTGTCGACCGTAACTGCTGTCTGTGATGTCGGGTATTGTAAGGGAAGTGTTGGCTGTCTCATAGAGTGGGACCTGAAAAGAAATCGTTGTCGCAATCGATTGACGTTAACGATCAGCACCAGGGTAGGATGGTAAGATGTGAGCACGCCTGCCCAGCCTGACAGCAAGGTCGATCCTGAAATGTGTTCTGACGTTTCGGGTCTGCAATGCCACGTGCACTTTCGGAGCCAACCTGCTTCCCGAAGAGAAACGGCTCACCTCCTGTTGGCCCGGCACGTTGCCGAGGGTAATGAGAGCCTGACCAGCTGGACACGGTGAGATATGTGGCAGAATCTTGGGCGTGGCCATGTTAGCCATGTTGAACTGCATGGCCACACCTTGTCGCAATATTGACTACACGCCAAAACCATGCAAGACAATCCTTTTCTCAAAACGGGTCCATCGCCTGAGTGGCAGGCCCATGGGACGCTAGTCTGTCAAGGGGGCACGCCTGTTCTGATCGCTGGTGCATCTTGTGCTTACACTGCACGCTCTGATCGTCCTGCTCCTTCGCCTCGCCATCCCCATCCCCTCCTCATCCTGTCCGCCGCCTCCTCCTCCTCATCCCCTCCTTCTCCCTACTGGCCCTTCCGCATCCCCCCCCCCCCCCTTTCCATCCTCCTGTCCTCGTCCCTACGCGTGTTCTCCTCTCCCCTCCGTCTCCCCCTCCACCCCTCGTGCTCCACCTCATTCTCCCCCCGAGATGCCATCAACACACCCCGTCCTCGCAATTCCACTCCTGCTCCTTGCCCCTTCCCACTTCGCGTGATTATCACCATGCATCCGCGCCATCATCATCTGCATCATCATCTCTATTATCATCCTTATCATTACCGCCCTCGTCCGGATCCCCATAATCATAAAAATCGTAATAATCACCATCATCACCACCATCATCATCACCACCATCACCATCATCATCGACATCATCATCATCATCATCATCATCAGCATCATCAGCATCATCGTCATCGTCATCTATCATCATCTATCACCATCTATCACCATCTATCACATTCTATCATCATCATCATCATCATCATCATCATCATCATCATCATCATCATCAGCATCGCCATCATCAGCATCATCATCGTTGGAATCATCGTTCGCGTCATCAGCATCATCGTCGTCGTCGTCGGCGTGGTCGTCGTGGTCGCCGTCAGCATCGTCATCGTCATCGTCATCAGTATCACCATCGTCAATCTCATCGTCAATCCTTCCCCTTCCTCGCCGATCCCCCCTCCCCCCATTGCTGCTCCTCGTCTCCTCTCGCAAATACACGATCCGTCCCCCCCGCCTCTCCTCTACTCACGTGCCTCCCTGCCCCCCGCACGCCACCTTTGCCGTCCTCATCTTCCTGTCTGCTCTTCGCCCTCATCCTCATCATTCGGCGCGCTCGCCTGTTTCTCCTCGCCTTATCCGCCCTGTACTCCTGCCCCCTTCCGTACCAAACGGCGCGGTCCTGCTCGCCGTACGCGAACTCAGGCGCCAAGGCCCGCCAGCCCCCCCGCGCCGTGTGCAGGGGGACCCTCATCGTCCTCTTCCTCGCCATCCTCTTTTGCTCCATGTCCTCCCGGTTCCCCCCGCGTCTCCTTCTTCCATCCTTCCGTCTGGCTCCGTCGTCCCCCCCCCCCCCCCCTTTTACCCGTCCGCACCGCATGCTCCCCCCCCAACCTCTTGAAAACGCAGCGAGTACGCTTCACAGGTGCTGCTGCTGCAGTGGCAAACGTTGAAATCATCAGTCCGCTGCAGCGGATGTTGTGCGTTTGGTCTCCAGCGCACATTTGGGTAGTTTGGACCCTGGCCCTCGAAGTACACGCACATTGCCTGCTCAAAATAGTCACCTAGGTTCGGCAGTGCACCCTACTCAGCAGATGCAACCGTTGAGGGACCTGGTCGGTGCCCTTTGTAAAACGGCTGTATGTACATTCCCTGACGAATGAGTTCCGCCAGAGGACATGTCATTCTTGGTTTGAGCAGAAGCGCTGCACGCTGTCCGCTGTATGGCAAATTCCTCGCGCGAATGTCGTGTGCTAGGCCACGCTGCGTTAATGAACATCGGCCGCGCGGCGTTCCGCTATTATGTGTTGTCGTTTGCCATGGCGGAATGAACAAAACCATGGCGTGCTCAAAACTGCAACGTTCGTCGAATGACACGCTACGCTACGCAATAACGTGCTCCACTGTGCCACGCTATGCATCGCAATGCTGTGACATGCTACGTCGCGTCCTGGTACTCAACGGTGCACGCTGCTGCTACGCGGTTGTATACGAGACAATATTATAACCAATACTCACGGACTCTACTGCCCATGCCTGTGGCAAGGCCACTGCACGCTACGAGGTTCGTGTACTAAGCATAGCAGGGACTGTGTACACCACGGGGCGGATACACATCGCAAGGCTACCGTTCGCTGAAACGCACGCGCGCACGTTGCGATCGCATGGTCTGCGCAAGTACATCGCAGACCCTGCGCATCACCTTGAGCGAAAGACCGGAAACCATTCATATTCAAATTCCGGCAAAAAGCCTGCGATTGCTCTCCCGCGAGCGCCACTGGGTGATGGCGGGGTGTAGCGCCTTGTCATAAAACAGGTTCGCCCCTGGTCCCACAAAAAAAGGGCCCTTGACGGGAGGGAAAGCGCACAATCAATAATATAGCAGAATTTGACTGCTCAATCGAACTCGCCATTGCCAATGAGTTGCTGCGTGCGTGTTGTCCGTACAATGCATGGCACGGTTGACCCTTCAGTGAATATGATGTCTGGCTTCGGTCGGCTCTCACATATACTCAACATCATATGCCGACAGGCCACACATGGATGGCACAGCTGACTCAGTCGAAACGAATCTCACCATAAGAGATATTTGGGGCGCATTCTTCGTCGCCGTTCGAAGGCCCCGAGGTCCCGAAATACCGAGCAAATGCCGTGGGTCCTTGCGGCCTTCCGTGGAGCACCCTCTGGGCAGCAGATCTTGTGTGTGGGGGGTGCCCAAACATGGACGGAGATCCAGCAGCTCGCACTCATAGGGTCGAGCAGCTCACTGCACTGTGAAGCCTGCAACACCTTTGGAGCCTCCGATGGGGTCATCCATGGCAGAAGTTCTTGTGGGGTCACCCATGGCAGAAGTTCCTGTCGTCCTCCGACTGCCAAATATCTCTGCTCACGCACCGTCTGGAGCAAGGCTCTACCTGGCCTGACCTGGCCGATGAACTCCGTCTCACGCTCGAGGCAGAGCAACAACCCGTCCGGGTCGGTCCAGACAAGCGGGGTCGGCCAGAAGGGCCGCTAGGCAGCGCAATGAAGCGAGCCCGCTCGCCCCTCGCCATGGTGGCCACCCCGATGTCCCATCCCCTGGGCGGCCGGGAAGGAGGAGCGAAGAGGAGGAGGAGGAGGAGGAGAAGGAGGTGGAGGAGGAGGAGGACGAGGAGGAGGTGGAGGAGGAGGAGAAGATAGAGGAGGAGGAGGAGGAGGAGGAGGAGGAGGAGGAGGAGGAGGAGGAGGAGGAGGAGGAGGAGGAGGGGAGGGGGAGTGGGGGGAGGAGGAGGGGGAGGAGGAGGAGGTGAAGGAGGAGGAGGAGGAGGAGGAGAAGGAAGAGGAGGAAGAGGAGGAGAGGGAGGGGGAGGAGGAGGTGGAGGAGGGGAGGAGGGGGAGGAGGTGGAAAAGGAGGAGGCGGAGGGTAGGGTAGGAGCGGCGAGGGCGCCATCGCGGTAAAGCTGTCTCCTCGCCGCCTTGGCTTCCTGCTGGCGGCGCGTCGGAGCCTCCTGCCACAACCCCCCACCATGTGTTCCTTCCGAGCGGCAGACGCTTGCCGTGTGCAAGCCTCCTTCAACTCATGATTGAACATGGTAAGATGCATAAGCTTCTCTTCTGGCGGCGAAGACAAACCAGAGGATTGATTGACTTCATTTGGCAGTGATGTTATACGAAGGGGTAAAATATCCCTACCCCTACCCTTGTAATCGCAACCATTAAAATCAAGACAGAAAACGAGAGAGTCACGATAAACAACTGAATGAGATCCGTGCACCCACCCCGGCATAATCGTGTAGGGGCGGGCGGGAATAGAGGTATGAGGGCGCCAAATATATACCTACACCGACCCTAGCCAGGCCCATCTTGGGCCCAGGATCGGTGTCGCCGTCTTGGCTTGGGCAGGCAGGCGTATACAAGGATACTGGGCCCAGGATCGGCCTGGTCAGGACCAGTGTCGGGGCGGAGAACAGGATAAAGGATGAGCGATGGAGTAGTGCCGAGAGGGCGCAGGCGAATCACGAGCAGGCCTCGATCGAAACGGACGGCGTGAGGGCAGGATCGCAGCAATGCGCGGCACCACAGGAACTCGGTGTTTCTGCCCCCTTCCCAGCCAGGCTCTCTCCTGGCCTGCACAAGGAAAATAGGATGATTCAGGGACAACGATCAGGGGGCCGGCTGAGGGGGAAACGTCGAGCTGGAATTGGGGATAAATCGCCGATGGATCGGCGATATGCTCCCGATACCGATATCACAGGTTCTCGCACGGGGGTGGGCTATCAAGCCCCTCTCGGCGATGCATGGGGGTCGACGCATCCCACCCTGAGCCTACCCGCCCAACTGACGATGCCCTTGGCTTTCGAGCCATACCTCGGCTGTCCGGCGGCCGTTCGGAACGATGCGAGGGGAGGCCCGCGAGGAGAGGAGAAAGGGGTGCCCCAAGAGCGTCCCACGAGGGCTCCAAGAGGCGACTGCTGTCTGGCTTTTGAGGGCCAGTACTGGTCGGCGCCGTCCCTTGATTTGACAGGTTCGTCCAAGATGGCCCCAAGAGGGCCCCCGAGGGCCTCTCAGGGCCCCCGAGAGGCCCCCAAGATAGCCCCAAGAGGACACCGAAAGCTATCAAAATGGCACCAAAAGGCCTCCAAGAGGCTCTTAGATCGAGAGGTCCTCGAGGGGTTGACTGATGTCATCGTCGCGGTCGTCTCCCCACCCTCCTCCTCATCCAAATTCTCCTCTTCGTCATGGTTGATGTCGTCGTCGTCGCCCTCTGCCTCCCCAATCATCATCCTGCTGTTTGTGTTCATGCTGCTCCTCCTCTCGCCTCCCTCGTCGTCCTCCTGAGTCCCGTCCTCCTCTCCTCTTCCTCCTCCTCCTCCTTCGACGAGAGGCTTCGCAGCTCCACCCCTGGGCATGCTCTGATTCCAAACTTCGGCTTGACGGCTGGCTCACGTGTCTGTTCCAGTGGATGCTTCTTCGCGTTCCTGATCAGGGCAACTCGCACGCGGATCGTTTATGGATGGGCTGGTTGGCATGCGCACAGGGTCAATAGTGTTTTGGCTGACCAACTTGCATACATTTAGATATACATATACACATGTAAGCATAGTATCAGCTGGGCAGCATCCGCACTGTAATGTATTACTGTGAGTGCACTTGCGTGCATCTATGAGCGTAGTCTGAGCACATGTGCTTGCACTGGCTCACTGAATGCGCGCTCGTTGATTGCCCAGGCTCGTTGAAACGCTGCGCGCAGCCCTGTAAAAACAAGAACAACAACCACAGCACTGCCACTGCAAAACTAGCGCCGCTAGGCGGTACTCGTGCTTTGGCTCATCAGGTGGTGCTCACTGGGCTCAACGGGTGGAGTGGGTAGCGACAACCATAATGACAGATGACAGCAAACAACATTGAACATGTGCAAACCATGCACAACTTTGGTGGCGCTGGTTCCACATGTTCACACTAGACCCCTGGCACACGGACCATTTCGAGCCGACTCGGAAACCCAGATGCCAAGCTTCGGTCGCGCTCATCAGCGCGTTGAGAGAGAGAGCCAAATGCGAGCAAAACGGCAGGAACGGATGGCAGCATGCTGTGGGTCGAGCGCACTGCACTCGAACAGTGTAGGGATCGGAGAAATGGGGATACGCTCGGAGAGAAAACGAGAAGTAGTGCCAGTCCTCACGACTTGCCCGCTGCCGAGGGCGAAAACGGTCGGCTCGCCGCGCTCTGCAGACAGCTTGTTATCCAGCAGTTCCCACACCTCCCCTTCGCTCTCCTTCTCCAACTCCTCCTCCTCCTCCTCCTCCTCCTCCTCCTCCTCCTCCTCCTCCTCCTCCTCCTCCGCCTCCCTGGTGCCCCTCCAGACACCCTCGCGTAGTGACAAAATCGCAACTGAAAGGTATTCACAGTGGTGTGCCCCTGAGGGTCCCGTCTGGATCCCAGCATCGTCAAACGACATCTCAGGATGAAACTTTGGTCCTGGGGAAAGGACCCAGGGAGACAACTCCTGAGAGGTCTTCGTCAGAACGATTAAAGGCCAACACGCCCGATTGCGAGGCCACTGCGCGGCCAAACCTGAGATCAAGCCAGAGGAAACTGAACTAAGCCGAATTGAGCACAGTGAAGACGGACTGAGCGGGATTGAGGAAGATCTGGCCGGGATATACCATCGCCGGTTCAGAACTGTAACCTACCAGGACTTGCATCCTAGCCTGGGGAAGTGGATCCAAGGGTTGGAGGCTTGGAAATGGGCACCGACACCAACACGGGTCGTTGCCTGCACGGTGTCCCC